ATCGGGAAGCTTGTGGGCCAGCTAGCCTGGAGTACAGTACAGCAGCAGAATAAGATGAGAGATCCTGTCTCAACAAGCGAAGTGGAGAAGCACCTCTACAAAGATATCCTCTGGCCTTCATAGGCATGCTGTCATACACACTCATGTACACACACAAATAAGAATTGTGGGGCTGGAGAGATGGCTCAGTGGTTAAGAGTACTGACTGCTCTTGCAGAGGACCCGGGTTCAATTCCCAGCACTCACATGGTGGTTACGAACTATCCTTAACTCCAGTTCCAGGGGAATCCAAAGCCCTCTTCTGACCTCCGCAGCATTGCAAGACATGGGTGCACTCACATACATGCAGGCAATACTCATACACAAAATAAAAATATTTGAAAAAGAATTCTGTGTGTGCCTGGTGTATGCACATACATGCCTGTGTGGTTTAGGATGGGGAACATATATACTGGCCTCAATTATATTTTTTCTGTTTTGTCTCTTGGCCCCATTGTTTTATACAGCTTGTTCTGCTATATTAAAAATCTGCCCAGAGATTGAATAAATTCAATGGAACCAGAGGGGGATGTTTATCACATATAGATCTTGAATATGGAATGAGCTATGCAATGATGGGCTTTATGTCCACTTTGAGTCAGTCGCTCTGTGCTCGGGGAGGTGGCACTATGCAGAATGTTTTTCTCTAGAGTGGAGGTATGGGAAGATGGTTTTGTTTTGTTTTGTTTTGTGCAAGTGTCGTAGCATGTTGTCCAAGTTGGCTTTTGCTCTTGGGCTGAAACTTTTTTTTGGCTTTTTGAAACAGGGTTTCCCTGTAGCCCCAGCTGGCCTGGAACTCACTATGTAGACCTTGAACTGGTCTTAACTCAGAGATCTGCCTGCCTCTGCCTCCCAAGTACTGGCACTACAGGCATGCACCACCATGCCTGGCTGGGCTGAAACTATCTTACCTCAGTCTTCCACAGGTGCATGTCACCACCCTGGCAGGTTGGGAGGATTTATATTGGTGCTGGGTAGCCCAGCTCCTGAGAAAATATTTGTAAGAGGGATTACAATGGATCATGAAAGTTAAACAGACTTGTTCACTAAATTTTTTTCCTCTTGCTAAATTTTGTAAAATTTTGTAATTTTGAATAGGTAGCACACTAATGGTTTGAAACTTAAAAAGTATAAAAAGTGAATACAGTGCAGTTCCCCTTCTGCTGCTGCTCCCCAGTTGCCCCATGGCCTTGCCTTTGGGAGGGGTTTATGAATCTTAGCGCATCTACCCACCTGTCTCCTGCATCAGCAAGTGGATTGCTAGCCTGTCCTCACCATTTCTTGTAATTGGAGGAATAGAGAACAGAGATTTTGTTTTTTGTACATTTATCTTTTATTTAGTCACTCACCAATATCTTTAATGCCAATAGGTTTTTATGACTGCTTTTTGGATTTTCTAAATACACAATCATGTATCAGCAAAACAAGAGAATTTATTTTCCAGCATCCAAACAGATTCAGTGTTCCCTCTGAGCTTCTGTCACTTGGACCTTCACAGCGATATCTCATTTCAGACTTCTGAGTACTCAGTAAACCGTCAGCTACTAGTTTCAAATGATCTGTCATATTCAAATAATCTTTAACTTAGGGTTTTAATTTTATCAAAGCCTACTCAAAACTGCAAAATTTTCTTTTTTCCACATACACTGTTTTAACACCTTTTATTAAAAAAACCTTTGAGATAATTCTAGACTTAAAGAAAAGTTGCAAAAATAATATGATTTCTGTATATGTTCCCTTAGATCCCCAAATGTTTACTGCAGCTTATGTGTATGTGTGTGTGTGTGAGTGGGAGATTGTTTTTACATTTATATTTTCTATAAGAATTCTTGTCAATAGTCACAACTATAAAAATAAAAAGTAAACATTGCTGCTCCACTGACATTTAAATAACGTTTGTCCTTGATGCAGTGGATGAATAAATTTCCTCACTGAACCTTCAGATGTGATTTCAGTGTATTTCTAAATGTAGCCAAGGTGACCTTGAACTCATTATCCTCCTGCCTCCACCTCTCAAGTGCTGGGATTACAAGAATGTACCACCATGCCCAGGTTTTTGTTTTTAATTTTTTAAATTTATTTTATGTATATGAATGTTTTGCCTACATGTATGTAAGTGCACCTCTGTTGTGCAATGCCTGTGGAGGCCAGAAGAGGGCATCAGATCCCCAGGAACTGGAGTTAAGGACAGTTTTTAGCTGTCATGTGTTGGGAACTAAACCCAGGTCCTCTGCAAGAGCAACTAGCATTCTTAACCACTGAGCTATCTCTCTCTAGCCAGTTTTTTTTTTTCTTTCTGCTTTTTGAGACAGGGTTGCCCTGTAGCCCCAGCTGGCCTGGAACTTGCTATATAGACCAGGTTGGCCTTGATCTCAGAGATCCACCTACCTCTGCCCTTGAGTGCTGGGATTAAAGGCATGTGCCACTGTGCCTGTGATCAGCTTTAAAAAAAATATGTGTATGCCTGTGTATGCCCGTGGAGGCCAGAAGAGGGCATTGGATCCCTGGAATCATAGCCACAGGGGGTAGTGAGCTGATATGGGTGCTGGAATCTGAACTCAGGCCCTTTGGAAGAGCAGCAAGTGCTCTTAATTGCTGAGCCACCTCTCCAGTCCTCTCCCCCTTTAAAAGGATTTAATTTAGGAGTACACTCTATTTGCATCACTTCCCCTCTCTCCCCCCCTTGTTTGCTTTTTTCTTGAGACAAGCTCTTATGTAGCCTAGGCTGGTGGCCTGGAACTTCCTATGTAGCTAAGGATGACCCCAAACTCTTGATTTTCCTGCAGCCATCTCCCAAGTGCTGGCATTACAGACTGTGTTTCTGAATTTGTTGCTGTGAAGTTCTAAAAATTTCACTTGTCCCCTCTTTCTAGTTACATCTAATTCTTCATTCCTAATCCTGTATTTTCATTCTTGATTCCTTTTTCCCTTATCAGGTTCAGGAAGTTTTATTCTACTTTATTGGCACTTTTAGCTAATTGACTTTTAATTTATCCTTTTTTTTCCCCCTCCTAAACTTAACTATCTTCCTGCCAATGTCTCCCCCGTGCTGGGATCACAGTGTGGACACCCTGCTCAGATTTTTCTCTTTGATCATAGTCATGTATGACAAGATCCTTCCAAGATGCCTGGGGTCTCCTTGTTCAGAGTGCCCGTCCTAGTAGGTTCTACTTCCTGACTACCAAGCACATGACAAGTAAAAGCACATAAAGCAAATAAATTTAGTATTCTGTTTTGGGGCTGGCACTGTGGCAGGGTCTGTGGATAGAAAGCCTAATGTACAGCATTTGTCTTCTTGGTGCTTAGACTCTAGTGACAAAGACACAGAACAAGTGGTCCACACTCACTAAGCAAAGCCCAGGATGCGATGGCCGTACAGGACGAGAGTCCAGGACAACAGATAGGGTCTGGCCTCCTGAAGAAGTGACAGCTAACCTGAGGATCTATTCTGGTCTACAGCTTACTTGAAAGAAGGTGGCCAAGGGGTTTCTCAGGCGCAAAATTGGTCTAGTTTTGAGTGAAATGCCCGCTGTTCCTCGCTATAGTTGATTATCCAATAGGAAGGTTACACAGATGACCAATGACTTTGAGCCTCTAAGTCTGACTACCACACCTGAAGAAAGGAGAGGAAATGGAAAGCTGGAGCAGCAGCAGACAAGGAATAGTAAAGATTTCAGGATGGCTGCCACCCCTTATGGTACTGGACTGACCATAGTTATCAACGTGACCACACAGTTTTTAATAAAACAGATGGAGCAATGAAAATAGATATGTGCATGTGGCTTACTTCCTGGCTCCTCTGCTGGGAGGGCCCAGGCAATGACATGCCAAGGAGTGTACCTGGGGTCCAGATCTTAAGTTTCTAAGCACCAAAAACCAATTGTTGAATTCAATAAGAGGAAGCAGGAGATTTATAGAGAAAGGGTTGATAACAGGGCGGGGACAGAGAGAATGTGAATGAGCCTGGAACAACATCCTGGAGTGCCAGGACGCAAGCAAGCATTCAACAGAGGATGGAAGTAATGCAGAGGAACTCAGGAGAGTCAAGCAGGGACCACGACCAGCAATGTGCTCTTAACTATACATTATAATAAGGGCATGCATTGAATCAGTAAGTGGGGGAAAGGGTTTTCCTTAGAACAGAATACCAATTAATAAATATAGCTGAGGTAGGACCATAAAGGCCATCATAAAGCACAAACGACAGGAAGATGTCTAAGCAATAACCACCATGATGAACACTGACCTCTAGGAAGAAGTCTAAGCATAAACAAGACATTTAAACAGCTTCCAGTATTTCCCTAACCTTTAAAAAATTTATTATTATTGGGCTGGAGAGATGACTCAGCCCAATAATAATTATTATTAGGCTGGAGAGATGGCTCTGGTTAAGAGCACTGACTGCTCTTTGTAGAGGACCCAGGTTCGATTCCCAGCACCCACATGGCGGCTACAAACCGTCCTTAACTCCAGTTCCAGGGGAATCTGATGCCCTCTTCTGACCTCCGGGCATTGCATGATATGGGTGCACTCACATACATGCAGACAATACACTTATACAAATAAAAATATTAAAGTATATTAAAGAATTTATTATTGTGTGTGTATATATGGTCACATGTGTCACAGTACATACGTGGAAATTAGAGGACAACTTTTGTGGAGGTAGTTCTCTCCTTCCTTTATGTGGGTTCCAGGTATTGAAGTCAGGTCATCAGGGTTGTGCAGCAAGTACCTTTACCTGCTGAGCCATCTCACTGGCCCTTTTTTTTTTTTTGAGACAGGGTCTCACTGTGTAGCCTAGGCTGTACTGGAACTCACTATGCAGGACAGCCTCAAACTTGTGACAATCTTACCTCTGTCACCCAAGTGCCAGGATTATAGGCACGGGCAGCTTGATTTTTGTTTATTTCCAGGGGAAAATTCTATTTATGTATGTATTATGTTTTTGTGGTCTTGGGGAATCAATCCTACAGCCTCGGCACGCTAGGCAAGCTCTACTCTTGAGCTACATCCCGGCCTGAATGTTCACAATTGTACTGTAGAGAACCTGAGCACACATTACCTCAGGCTCATGATGGGGTTAACAATGTCCACTGCTAAAGGGCTGGGTACGACGGTACACACCTTTAGACCCAGTACCCAGGAGGCAGAGGCAGGCAGATCTCTGTGAGGTGAAGCCTGGTCTACATAATGAGTTCCAGACCAGCTGGGGCTCTAGGGAGACCTGTCTCAGAAACAAAAACCGAAAAAACCCACTGTACAAATGAGAAAAAACAGTAACCACTGCTGGGAGGTGGTAAGGGCACACTGCTCTGTGGTCATCTTGCCAAAAATGCAGACCCTCAATCTCATCAGTGAAAACATTAGACAAACTCAAACTGAGGGACAGGAACAAAATAACTGGTGCAGACTCTTCAAAAACGCCAAGATCATGAGTGAAGAAGGATGGAGAAGCTGCCAGAGAGAGGCAGAGAGGAGGGAGACTACGGGGGGAAAAGGCAGTGTCTGGGCTCAGACCCTGGAGCAGAAAAAGGACATGGGGGAAAACTGGCGAAATCCACATGCCTGCGACCAGGCAGAACTGTGACAATGTGAATTTCCTGTCCTGGTTTTGGTAATTACCATATGGTTTCATGACTTACTAGTTCAGGAGAAGCTGAGTGAAAGGCATATGAGAACTCTATTATTTTTGTAGTTTTTCTGCAAGTCTAAATAATTTCAAAACAAAAAGTAAGTAACAACTACAGAACATCACTGAGGTAGGAGTAGCAGCCTGGCTGAGGGGCTAGATGGCGACATCTGGAGTCGTCCCCTGCCTGGCTTGAGCCTCATACCATGTCGTCACAACATTCTTCTATGACTCAAGGCACTGTCTCTTGCCTTGTCTCTGCTTCCTGAGCCTGTTGGTTAACACACAGGAGGAGGTTGGAGGAGCAAGATTTTATTCAAGTCCTGCAGAGGACAATGGACAGTGGTTACTGATGGTGGCTTCTGCAGATGGCACCCAGTGACTGGCCAGGCCTTGCTACTTCATACCCAGTTGGGTTGGACCACAGCTAGTCTGTGGTCTGTCCTCTATAAGGGGCACGGTGTTTTAGACCACTGCACTGTGTCCATTGTGCAGCCTGAGTAAACTTCAAGCTTGTTCCAGCCTCACTTGTCTGGGATGGCAGCTAGAGACAGGGTTAAGGCAGGCTCCACAACCACCTGCTTGGAGCCTGACCCCCTGATCTTGCCCCTTACAGTGTCCCATTATTTGTATTGTCATTCTCCTGAAGGAGAACTGAGCTTGGTCACCTGGAACTGCTGTCTCACCAAAGAAGGCAGGGTAAAGAACTAGTCAGGCTAGTCACAAAGCTTGACTCCCAGGTGGGGAGGAGCTCTGCATCATAGAGAATTTTAGGGTATGGGAGAGAGGTAGCGATAGATTAAACTACAGAGCTATGTGTGCTTGGGCCTCTTGCCTTTCTCCTCTCATGGGGACATCCTGGGGATGAGCTGCATGCACACAAGCAGAGATGGCTCCTCACAGCCGGGTCCCTGTCTTTCTCCAGCCAGATCTGTTCTCAGCTGCCACACTGAGCTTCTGAACATGTTACTGTTCAGCGGGCTCTAGGGAATAGGGTTCATCTTGAAGCACAGACCAGGAGCCTTTCTGCTCCTCACCTTAGAGGAGATCTACAACCAAGATGGCAGGGGAGGGCAGGACTCCTGCTTTAGGGCTGGCGGAGGAGGCTCTTCCAGGGGCAGCATGAGGAGAAGGTAGGTCAGTTGCCATGCCACAGTGAGGGGCCTTTATTGGATGTTCAGGGCACACACAGGCAAGCAGATGCTAGATGGAGTAGCACACCTTCTGGGGATGGAGTGGTGCCCGGATGTCCAGTTTGTGGGTCTTGCTGTCCTTATCAATGATCTCCAGGCGCAGCGTGGGTGGACGCTTCTCGGCCTCTGGTGTGGGCAGTTCGGGGCTCTTGAGGAGCTGCTTGTCGGAGTCTTCCACGGTGATACGCAGGGTACAGCCCCCTGGCAGCAGGTCTTGTTCGTAGGCTGCTGCCAGCTGGTTTACCACACGACGCTCGACCTGCAGGTGATGGAAAGTGACATGATCATCACTGTCTTGGCCTGCACCAAGCCTGTGGCCTGAGCCTGGAGCTAGCTTCTATCACTTACTGCTTAGGCAAGTCACTAAGTCTTAGTTTCCTCACCCACAAAGTGGGGTTAATGGCAACAAGATCACAGGTTGATGCTAAAGGCTTTATGATGTTAGTTTCTGAGGCTCCCAGCCCAGGACCCCTTCCAGTGAGGGTTCATACTTGTTCACCCTCCAGAGAGTGTCTTTTTAAAAACTGTAATTTGCCGGGCGTGGTGGCACACGCCTTTAATCCCAGCACTTGGGAGGCAGATGCAGGCAGATCTCTGTGAGATCAAGGCCAGCCTGGTCTACATAGTGAGTTCTAGGGACAGCTGGGGTTACAGGGAGACCCTGTCTCAAAAAGACAAAAAAAACCCCAAAAATGAAAAACTGTAATTTATTTGTTTGGTTTTATTTTATGTGTATGTTTTGCCTACATGTATGCAAGTGTACCTGTGTCATGCAATGCCTAAAAAGACCAGAAGAGGACATTTGATCCCCTGGAACTGGAGTTAAGGATAGCTGTTAGCTGCCCATGTGGGTGCTGGGAACCGAATCTGGGTCCTCTGCAAGAGCAGCAGTGCTCTTAACCACTTAAGTCATCTCTCCAGCCCCCAGAGTGGTTTTGGTTGACCATCTTTTATTTTTGGTTCCAAAAAGTTTTGGTTCTATTGGCATGGGCAATTCCGGGAGATAGACTACAGGGAGACAGAGCTTGGAGATTGAGTCTAGAGGCACCAGGGAAGGAGGTATGGAGACATGTGTTTTCTCAGGCCCCTGTGCTCACCTCATGCTTGATGGAGCGGGCACCATAATGAACATTGTAGCCATCAACCAGCACATCTGCTACCTCGCGGTCCCACAGCAGTGTGATGTTGTGCCTTTGCTTGGCCTGAGGTGGGTCAGAGAGACATCTGTCTGCATGTGGTGGCCAAGTGCCTTTCAGCTCTTGCCAAAATGACCCGAGGTATGGGCTGGTGAGATGCTATGCCCCCAGGACTACTGACCCCATACCACAGTGCTCCAACCACCAGGGGGAGGGGTCATTCCCAGTCAGAGTTCCAGATGTCCTATCCCCACCCATGGGCAGTCAGTCCCCTCTTACTCTCTTGGCCCAGAAGTTCAGTTCCTTGTTGACGAGCTGGATGAGCTCTGAATGGCAGAAGGGGAGGAAGTAGACGATCTCATTGATCCGTCCCAGAAACTCATCCCTCCGGAAGTGAGCCTGCAGAGGCCGGTTAGGGTGGGGTACTCAATGATGGGGGAAAATAGGAATCTTCATAGTCCTAGAGTGGCTAAGGTCCTGCTCCTCCAACCCCAGACTCCAGCAGGAAAAGCCAAGAAAAACTCACTTTCAGGATGGGGCGGATCACATTCTCCTTAAAGTTCTTTGAGATAGTAATCTTGTCACTAATTTGGACATCCTCTGTGGAAACAGATCATAAATGGCTTAACCCTCCACTCAAGGGAGCTCTGGGCTGTGCCTGCTCCTTGGTCTGACCCATGGGAGAGCCCTGGTTCTGTTTGTTGGATGGGTACTTGTAGTGCTTGTCCAAGGCTCTCTGGGCCTTGCCTTGGGCTCCTCACCTAACTAGGTACTTTCTGAGGCCCTTTGGCACTGAGATACCATTTAAACCTGGATCCTTGGGAGGGAGTTGGGGTCAGGAGGAAAAGAGTCAAGAGGAAGACTCAGCAAAGTGGTTGTAGGGCTCATCCTGAGTAGAAAGGCACTGACAAAGCCCCTCCCTGACCCGATCTCTAGGGTCCCCAATGCAGGGCCCTGCCCTGACCCCATTTCCACAGTTTTGTACCTGCTGACTTTCATTCCCTATCTGTTGTGTCTTTCTAGTCCCTAAGAGCTGGGCCTCCTGAGGAGGAGGAGCAATCTTTTCTATATCCTGTTTACTCTCTGGTATGATGCCTGGTGTTTGCTCTAAGGATCTCACTTGGACCCAGGATCCCAATTCCATCCCTGCCCCTAGGGTGTGCTGGTGGTTGGATCACTTATCCGGAGAGCCCACACCATCCACCATACCAAGGTTTTCAGCAATGCGGTTGTGGCTCATCTCCAAAGCTTCCTGCCTCAGCTGCAGTGCATGCTGGGCGATCTCATCACTGGCCACATTGGAGGTCATGATGAAGATGGCATCTTTGCAGTCAATGGTCTTCCCTTTGCCATCTGTCAGGCGGCCCTGGCAAGGATGAGGGATGGTATGGTCAGGAAGTTGGGAGCACTCTCAGGACACAGCTCTTCCTCAGAGCCTCGTGCTGCTGCCCCCTTCTATAAGCTTTCTGGGCATGGGACTCATACCTGGCTCTAATGACTTCATCCACTGAGGGTTGCAGGAGAGGTGCACCTGCTTTTGGTACCTCAGGACACCCAGAATCCCTGGCTTCCAGAGGTCAGTCTGATTCTCCACCCAACACACTTTCTTAGAGGCCCACTCTGGGCTGGGCTCTGGGATTTACTGAGCTGTCATAGTCTGGCTCAGGGGGCAGTGAGACTAGGAAACAAGTAATGATCATTTTGAAGGGAAGCATGGATTGCTGTAGGAATCCAGGGGAGGGTATCTTAGAGGATGATTCTGAAGGGCAGATGTGGCCACTTGTTAAGAGCTTCAGGAAGTCATGCGGGGCAAATGATCAGAGAGTTGTTATTCTTCTAACCAGTGGTATGTGCAAACTGACACAGGTGTCATCTCTACATCTTCCGTTCTTTGTTTTTTGATATAGGGTCTCATACAGGCCAGGTTGGCTTCAGACTTACTATGTAGCTGACAATGACCCTGAATTTCTGACTCCCCTGTTTCTACCTCCGTATTCCTGGGATTACAGATGTGTGTCACCATGCCCAGCTCATCTCTATCTTTGGAACCATCCTCCATCTGGCAGAGAAGGATGGATGGTCAAGTTCTTCCTTAAACTTCCTTGGGAAGTTTCTTTGGAATGGAAACTGTTTCTATTTCTTTCTAGAAAAGATCCAGTAGGAGATAGGTGCTGAGAAAAAGAAAAAGGGAACAAACAGCAGACAGAAGAATAAAGAAGTATTTTAGAACCATTCAGGTCAAGGGAACAGAGCTCTGGCCACATGGCAAACCTCAAGGTTGTCATTGCACACTAATACTGGACAGTCATGATAGCAGCAAGCAGGGTCTCATCGAGAGAAACCAATGGAGTGGCAAGGTGGCTGCTGGCAGAGTGCTGCTGCTGTTGGCGCAGTGCTCTACTCTATTCATCTGCTAGAGTGGAAGGTTTCCAGGCAAAGGCTCATCCAGGCCAGGGTCAGGCATAGAGGTGTTCAATACCCACATGCTGACTGCCTGAATCCTCACAACCATAAAGAACCCAAGACTCAGGGGTAGCAGGCCACTTGTTCCTAGTCCTGCAGCTAGAACATGGAGCATAGACACAAACTGACCACAGAGCCATGCTCCTGCTTCTGTAAGGGCTAGAGGGTACCCAATGGTGTCTCACGTCATTTGCTTCCCCTTCATAAAAAGCTTCTCATAATCAGGCCAAATTTAGCTTGCATCCCTTTCGAGGAAGTGGGAGAGAATCCCAGCTTGGGGTCATCTGAGGCATGACAACACTGGAGAACATGGCCCTGGGGACAGATCACTGAGCCATGATTGGCTCCTGCCCGTCTCAGCCTGTCACCATCTTTATCAAGCTTTTTCCTTCCCTGTTGGTGCAAACCAGATTCAGGGTCAGTCTTTGCTTCTAACATCTACACACTAGCAACCCCAGTTCTCCTCTTAGGGACAGAGGGGGGAAAGAGGATGGGGAGTGAGCTCTGGAATGCCAGGCATGTTTTCCAGGCTTGCGCTGCCTGGGCCCTTGGCATAGGCTTCTTAGCATTGGTTCCAAAGGGGTGTATTCTTTTTTTTTTTGGTCTTTTTGAAGCAGGGTCTCCCTGTAGCCCCAGCTAGCCTGGAACTCACTATGTAGACTAGGCTGGCCTTGAACTCACAGAGATCTGCCTGCCTCTGCCTCCCAAGTGCTGGGACTACAGGCGTACACCACCACGCCTGGCCCAAAGGTGTATTCTAAATGGATGTGACACTCCACACCTTGGAAATGGTCACCCTGCTGACCCTGCTGTCCCTGCTTTGGGGTGGGAAAAGGAGAGGCAGGGGTGGTGGATGCCTTTCAGCTTTTGCCCCAGTTTCTTCGCTTTTGCCCCAGTTTCTTCACTCTTGCCCCTGCTCATAGGCTCTAACACAATAGAATCACTGGGGGTGGTTTGAACTTGGGGCTAGGTGCATGTGACATGACCAAGTGCGCACACAAAGCACTACATGTGTTGCACACTGGCCTTGCAGATCTCCTTCCTGAGGACTGGGTCCATGCATTGCTGTCCTGGCCAGAGCAATAGCCCAGCAGCAAATTCACTGTGAGAGATCAAAGCTCTGCTCATAGCTAGGGTACATGATGGGTCCCAGGTGGGCCAGGGGAGCAGGTGCAGCACACAACTGGCCTCAAGAGAGACTTTCAGCACTTACATCTCTTTCTCCTCAGTTTCTTTGGCAATTAAGATGTGTCCCAAAGAGGGAGCTGTCCTTGTCAACTATCCTAGCTGGGGTGCGGATCTCATTCAGGGTTACGGACTGCCTGTCTGTCCTGCTAGACCCTAAGGTTTAGAATCCTTATGAGTCCTTAAAGGGAGGAAGAGAAGGTGGCTCCTTGAAGACCACACTTTTCTTGGGACTGCTACCCTGTACTCTGGAGTCAATTGGGAACAACCCAGCATTAATTCTGCACAGTGCTTTGCTGACAGCTGTAGGGTTCTTGCTTTTCTGGGTACAGGCTTGGGAGGACACGCTTGGGCAGGGGCTGGGGACTTCCTCACACCCCAGACTGGATCACGAACCCTTACAATCACTGCATTTGTTATTTTTCCACAGTGTAGTGCTTACCTCAGGTGCCCTGTTTACGTGGTCCATCAATAACACCATAGGCTGACTATGTCTACTCTGTCCTGCACAGCGCCTCAAGAAAAAACACCTATGCTACATTTTATAGATCTGCTGCCTGCCTCTGCAACAATTCCCTCTTTGAACCTTCTTTGACCTGTGCCAGGCTTGCTGTGTAGCCTTTGCTGCTTCTGTGACGTAGAACCTCCCTAGGTGAGAGATGGCATCTGTTCTGGGGCTTCTGTGTGGAAGGAACCCTGAACTAACTTTTGGCAGATCACTCCTATGCTCTGAACTGATAAGACTGATGAGGGCCTCATCCTCTGCCAGGTGTGTCTGCTGCTGGGCCTATACAGCTCCATGCCTTAGCTGATGGGTCAGCCACCTAGGCCAGAAATCAGACCACTGCTCATGGCCAGCACCTTGTTCACCTCATAGGCAGCCTTCTAGGGCTTCTCTGCAGTTCATGGAACCTGCTTTAGACCAGGCTGCTGCTGCTGCTTCTGTAGAATAAACAGGTGTCTCTTCCCTGAGCCTGAGCCTTCTCTCTTCTAGTGCCTCCTCTACATAGCTACCTTTAGGATCTTTGTAAAGTGAAAACTTGACCCTGTTGTTTAAAGGTCTTTCAAACATTCCTCACTGCCTATAGGATAAATCTATACTCCTTTGCCTGGTCTTAGGGGGCCAAGGACAGAAGTGGGCTAGACTCCATCTGGTACCTGGTGCTAGCTAGTCCATCTCTTAGGGGGGAGAAGAAGCCTCATCTTCATTCAGCTCTTGGTCCTCATGTTCTCCTGGCAGGGCAGGGCCCCTGGAACAGGTGGAGGCCATCCTCTGCCATGACCATGAGTACTCCCTCCCGGCTCGAGGTGAGGAGACACAAAGGGGGAGTGCTGGTCGTGGGATCAGATACATCCACAGTCCAGTCCTGGTTCTTTACCTAGAAGTTCTGCAACCTTGTACCTATTATTTATACTTTCCTGTGTTTAAAACAAAGGAGATAATTTCTACCTGGCTATAGTGGTAATCAATAATGATGTCTGTTAGGTCTGTAGTAGAGGCATGCAGTTAATGTTTTGATAAAAGCAAATTCTCATTTACAGCTCATCTCAACTAGCTACCCAATTTGTAAAGAAGAGCATTATGAGTCCCCATAATATTATCTCAGCAGCAATCACTGCTGGCATTTAAAGAACTAGAGCAGACCAAGTCCGATACCCAGGGAGGAATAAGAGCTACAGAGGAAAGAAGGTTCATGGAGCTTATGTGGTCCAGCCTCCTTGCTTGTCATAGGAGGTCCTTGATGACTAAAGATGGACAGTGACTTGCCAAGGCCACAAAGTCAGTCAGGAGCAGAGCTAGAACTAAATATCTTACCCCTCCCACCCCCACCCATGGCATCTCTGCCCCACTGCTTCTCTAGAAGGCAGCCTGGGAGGCCATGAGAGCTCAGCTCCAGGTGAGTACTAGGCTTTCCTCAAGTGGGCCCTGCCCAGAGAGGGGGCAGAGTCACTTCTGCCAAATGACTGAGCATGGGAAGCAGCAGTAAGCAGAGGAGTGATCAGACAATGCTCTGGGCCCTGGGCTCCTGCTGTTCAAAGCCCCCATTAATGTGGGGTGTCCCCAGGCCCAGCCTGTTCTTACCTCATCAAACAGTTGCAGCATGATGGTGAGCACATCTGGATGGGCCTTGTCTACCTCATCGAAGAGCACCACTGCATTGGGGCACTGCTTCAACTTTTTGGTCAGTTGACCACCTTCTTCGTGGCCAATGTAGCCTGGTGGAGACCCGATAAACTTGGCTACCTGGTAGAAGGCAGGACACATGTTAGGAGGGTCTTTTGTGCTTTTAGTCTAAAATAATGGGCCAGTGTGGGAAGATGGCTTCATACAGCATTAAGAGGTCAGTCTCAACAAGGACAGTCAGCTGAGGGGTAGGAATCCTGCCATGATGGGAGGGCAGACAGATCTGTTTCTTCTTCAGAGCAAAGCTTGTACAGAACACACCAGTGACCCTGTTGTGTACATGTGCTCCCAAGAACACATCCCAGGGGAGCTGAAATTTTCAAAGGTCCAAGTGACAAATCATATAAAATGTCAAGGCAGTCATGGTGACAAGCCCTCCAAGCCACACTTCCCAAAGACCCTCTATCTTACCTCATGTCGCTCTTGGAACTCAGACATGTCCAGCCGGATGAAGCCCTGTGTGAAAATAAGCAGGTGGCACGTTGACGTGAGGTAGGAAGCAGGGGATGAGCACAGGCCAGAGTCCTCAACTACCTCTGGGCCTTCAGGCCACATCAGCTGTCACATTCTCATGGCACACTGTTCCTGGTCTTTGCCTTCTTTCCTGCCCACTCATCTGTCACATGATCCCCCCCATTCTCTACCTTAACAAGGCCAATTTGTGTCCCTGCCCTTCTAAATCTGATTCAGGACGTCCCTTCCTTCAGGCGGCTTCTACTGCTCTCATTACCACATTATCTATGGCTCCGGTCCCCCTCCCTCCCAATTTCCTGGAGGGCACTCTGTGTGTGCCTGTGTGTGCCAGGCACTCAAGTTACAAAGTGGAAACTCTAAGTCTCTGTCCTTGAGGAGCAGCTGTTTGAGTGGGGTAGGTGGGGAGGGTCAAGGTCAATACTACCAGTGTGGATGGTGACGAGATCAAAGGCGGGGCTCCTTATACCCCACAACTTTGCAAGTCTGTGGGAGGCACATGGCCCTTTAATGTCCTTTTTCTTTCCCTTTAAGGGAATGACTATAACGTAGCTTGTTGGTCTTCTCTCCACAACTGAGCTTTGGGGTGATTTCTGAGGAAGGAGCCTCCTACGGGGAGGGCCAGAGTGAGCCCCAAGGGAAGGGTTAACACAGGCAGAGTGCCCCTTCCTTATTATGGATACCTGGAGTGATGGAGGCACTCATGGGTGCTCAGGTATTTAAAAATCCTGCCCCCTCCTTCACTGAGCCCTTACATACTGCTGCTCCTGAGAGCAAAGGGACATCACGGCATCAGGACCCTCAGAGGGAGGCATTCAGGGTTGAATTCTAGCCTGGCTGCTGCTCAGGAAAGCACCCAGTAAGTGGTCCGAGTCCTTTGTACCACAGAGGTACAGGCTGGAGGGAGAACTCAGGCCAGGGGCCAGGAGGCTTGGCTTCAGATCCAGTTCTGCTGCTGTACAGACAGTGTGTAGCCTTGGTTAAGTCCTGTGCAATATTGGGCTCTTGACCCCTGTCCCTGCTTCACTGGGCTAGAAGGAAAGACCTAACCCAGTAGGCAGAAGAGGGCTTAGACAGGCTGGTAGGCCATGTGGCAGGCAGTGCTATCAGCTCATGGGGCTTAAGCAGCATTCTGAGTCTCTCGGCTCAGCCATGAACGCTTCTGAAAGGGGAGGACGACTGTGGGTAAGCTGAATGATGACCAGAGGAAGCCAGGGACATGGACACGCTTCTGATGGTGAGAACTGACAATCACTGTGCTTACTGCATGCCTGGCAGCGTTCTAGGCAGGCTATACAAAAGGCCTTAGGACGTACCCAAGCCCGAGGTGAGTACTGTTATCCTCCCCACTTTACAATGAAGAAAGTAAGTCACAAATTGAAGTATGTTGCCCAGGGTCACGCAGGCTTGGCTGTGAGGCTCTTAGTCATGACAGGGCACCATCTTCCATTTCCCCACTGTCAACTAGCTGGGCTGGTTTCATTCGAGAGCTTCAGAGGTTCTGTGCTCAGAAGTGAATGTTCCAGGATCCAGGGGGTGTCAAGTAGTGCTTTCTGGTGTCAAGTGACCTGGTTCCTTTCCCTAGCTATTCTAGTGTCTTGCTATATAGCTTTGCATAGGTTTTGGCTTGGTATTCTTTGCTAGAATCTTTTTGGGTTCATAAATTCCTTTTTTTGAGACAGGTTCTTCTTGTAGCTTCAGCTGGCTGGAACTTCCTATATAGACCAGGCTGACCTCAATCTCACAGAGACCTTCTTGCCTCTGTCTTCTGAGTGCTGGGACTAAAGGTGTGTGCTACCATACCCAACTTGTGTCATATGATTAAGAAATTTTTAAAAAATTTTCTTTTTATTTTATGTGTATGAGTGTTTTACCTATATATATGTAAGTTCAACCATGTTGTGCATTGCCCACAGAGGCCAGAAGAGGGCGTTAGATCCCCTGGTACTATAGTTAAGGACAGCTATTAGCCACCATATAGGTGCTGGGAACTGAATCCAGGTCCTCTTTAAGAGCAGCCAGTGATCTTTTCTACTGAGTCATCTCTTCAAACCCATGATTGGAGAGAGATTTTTTTTTTTTTTTTCTTTTTGAGACAGGGTCTCCCTGTAGTCCCAGCTGATCTGAACTCACTATGTAGACCAGGCTGGCCTTGAACTCACAAAGATCCGCCTGCCTCTGCCTCCCAAGTGCTGGGATTAAAGACGTGCACCACCATGCCCAGCATGGAGAGAGATGATTTTTAACTACATAGTTTCATATTTTAACTCTGGATTACCTACAAGGTGAGGCAATAGCAACTATGGTACATGTTCTGACTGCTTATTGTGTATGAGAATGGTGTTTAACATTTTACATCATTCTCATTTAAACCCCACAGCAATACAATGGGATAGGTACTATTATGGAACCTACAAGTTAGAAAACCAATAAGAACAGAGTCCCAGCCAGTTTCACACAGGAGGGGAGAGGTAGAATTGAACTCAATGCCTGCTCTTAACCTGTCACCATACTGCCACTAAAGCTCAAAGATTTTGGGGTTCCAGCACCTTACCTTATGACATTGCAGAATAATCAGATTCTTTCTCAAGGATTAACTGATAATGAGAGTTAACAAGGCTGTTCAACTGGGGTTGAGGGGGGAAAACCAGTAAGCTCACAAACAGATCTGGTAAGAAAAACATGCAGCTATACGTAATGCCTTGTGAGGTGAGGGCTGGAGGTATTAGTGTCTTTTTACAAATGGGTGAAATGAGGATCAGAGAGCCAGACCAGAACTGGTCCCTGGACTCCCAGGCCAGTGACTGGTTAATTTTATGAGCCACTGTGGGAGGCAGAGGAGGAAAGCTCCCACTTGAGACAAGCCTATGAGACACTGGGCTTGAACCAGATACTTTCTGTGCTGCTCCTTGGGTCCTGGAGGTGTCAGGGGCACTGGGTAGACAGCTACAGTCCAGGGCTCACTTGGAGTTTAAAGACAGGCCTCAAACATGCCTGACCCATGGTGAGACAATGCTTATGTAATTATATTCTGTAAAGGGTTACCCCACAGGGCTGGTGCAGGTAAGAAGTTTTAGAAGAATTTATGACTTACAAGTTTTTGGCCTTTCACACCTCCCATCTCCCTCTGTGAAGTGGACAAACTGACAGGTTTACAACCTTGCCTCCCAAAGCAGCATTGAAAGAAGAGGTGAAGACTGGGCTCTGGTTCTATTCCTCCTAATGTGTGACCTTGGGCAAGCCTCCTGACACAACAGGGCCTCAGGTCTCTCATTGTGAAGCGGGTCTAAGCATCTGTGCTAGTTCTTCAGAGGATCAACAGGAGCATGATGAGTGGGCACTGCTGGGGACAGGATGAAGTGACAGATACTCTCAAGGTGAGGGACCAGCTGAAGCTGAAGTCTGAGTGAGCTGCAACTTGCAGGGGCTCAACACAGCCTCAGACATAGCTCTGCCCTGAGGCGGTGGGCTGACATTTGGTGGAGGGAGATGCCTAGGGCCAGGAGAAAGCAGAACAGGAACTTGAGGCAGGGAATGGCTGGCTCCAGACCTGTGCCCACCTAGCTTGCTGTTTCCATAGCAGTACAGGTAGGTGATGATGTTACTGCCTTCAGGGGAGGTGTGGACTGCAGGAAGTTGCCATTCTGCCTGTGGGACACTTGCACTGGGAAAGAATCTGCCTCCCATTTAGATGCACCAACTAAAAAGTACTTGCATCATCAGTCTTTTAGCAAGCCCCTTTTCTTTCTACACCAGCGAGTCAGCAGATACTCTTCTACTTACACTGTGTATGAAGACATATTAAGACAGCTTGGATAAGGAGATTATAATTTGTAATTAAATATTAACCTTTCTGACAGTATTAAAATTAAACCATTCAGAATTCTTCATCTCTAATCAGGTGGCTCCTGCCCGTAACTGCATCTTCCCTAATAGTCTCACTAGTTTATGGCCCTTTCCAGAGTGCTAATTGTTTCAATCGCTGCCAACTTGATGAATAGTCTGAAGCCCACTATTTCAGTTGAAGCACATTAGCATGCCACACATTTTCCTTGCCTGCTTGCCTGTCAAGTGGGTCTGCTCTGGGTTTGGTTGAGGTTGAGGCACAGCTACTGGCAGAGACAAGCAGGTTTAAGAGTCTTCTGCCAGTTCCTTAGCAGAAGGAGCTCAAGAGAATACATTCTGGGCTACCTTGTTTCTGTGAATGCCAAGGACACAGGTAGGTCACAGTAACAGGAGTTCAGGACTCTGCTGTTTGGACCACTTGGCCAGAAGAGGCTGAAACAGTCCCTCTACTTCGGAGGGGGATGCTTTCCACAAAACCAGGCAAGCACATTGGGGGCTTGGGGAACTTCCAGCAGCAGGCAGGGGGAGCTCAGTCTCAATGCTGGGAAGGTTGGTAGGAAGGGATTCAGCTTTCATTGAAATGTTTTGCACCATCTCCAAAGATTGCTCTCTTGAAAGTGTAAGTTGTCAGGCCTTGAATAAGCAAAGATGGGGATGGCTCTTTCCTGGGGAGAATCCAGGGCTCTGTGCTGTGGGCAGGCACAGAACAGCACTACCAGCTAAGGGGACACGTAGGGTGGAGAAGCAGCGGGCACCGTGTCATTCTACTTGTTTTCTCCAGTAGATCCCAAGATTCCCTGTAGCATAAACCTACTGCCTGGGTCACCTACCTACTCTGAGCTCCTGTAGAGGAAGAGGCCTCAAGCATCCAGCAAGATGCTTGGTGTGGGTTGGGGCTCAGTAATGTACAGATGAATTTCATATGGTTTTCCCAAAAGCCCCAAGACTCAGGCAGGCTGAGGATGACCATTTTTGTTTCACAGGTGAAGAAACTGATGCACAAAGAGGTTGGATAATGTGTCCAAATTCCTGGAGCAAATTGTGGCAAGAGCTGAGGCCTGATTCTTGGGCCAGGGCCCAGCTTTTTCACTGGCTGCTGTTTGGATCTGGGGGAAAAGAAGCATGGCTGGCAAGGCTTCCCTGGCCTATAGGCCAGGCTTGGTCCTTGTCCTTACCTTTTTGGCATCTTTGTGCATGTACTTGGCTGTCTGCTTAGCCAGCTCGGTTTTCCCTAGTAAAGAAGGGAGAGGACCCTTGGGTTAGCACCAGATGATTGAGGAATGAAAGAAAGCTAGACATGAGTGGACGTGGAAAAGTGCTTTTCTTATGGGTGGATAGCTGAGGCTCAAAGACTGTTTCCCAAGGTCACCTAGGGAATGAACAAAGCTGAGACCAGAATAAAAGTCTGCACTATGTCTTAATTTTTTTGTGGTGGGACCAAGGGACTTTTCTCCATAGTAGCACCCTAGAATTATGGGGGAAGGGGAACTCTTACAATCCAACTTGTCTTTTGAAGCTCAACATAAACCTCATCTCTTCTAGGAGTGCCCTGACTTCCTGGCTCATGCCCTGTATCTTTCTTAACCCCCATGGGTTCTGCCATTTGGCCAGGCCCTGGGACCTCAAGCCAAGAAAAGGTTAAAAGGAGATAAAGAGGATCTTCCACTGGCTTCACAGTTCTTTGTGACAAAGGAAAGAAGGACAGTTTCAACGTGGTAGTTCTGAAGGACCATCTGGAAAAATGGCAGAGCCACTCTGTGATACACAGAGTATCATGGTCAGGGGCTAGTGGCCTTTTGCGACCTGAGGAGAGTCAGGTTCAGGAGAAGGTGCTGGGAAGGGAAGAGGTAGCAGCTAAACCATGAAATCTCCATCAAGACCAGGAAGGGAGGTGGGGGTACAGGAGAGGCAGAGAATGTCTCAGACAATATACCTCAACTGGCTAGGAAAACATCCAACCCATTTTACTGCAACCAGTTCTGCTGTGCACTGGGCATAGGAGCTTTCCTGAGTTTCCCAAAGGTAGGCTTTCCTGAATACAGCTATGTGCCAGGTAGTGGATGTGGTTCAGCTGTTCCCAGAGGTGAGCCTCCAGAGATGCACAGTGCTTGGGACAGGGCTAACAGGCCCTCAAGGCCTTGAAAACAGGTAAATTCACCACAACAGAGGAGGGGGCAGTGACTCCAGCTCTCAGGAACATGGTACATGATTAAGAAGTCCAAGGTCTTTCTTGGTGGCTCTGGACTGGAGGTGGCTGCTTCTGGTGCTGCCAGGCTCAGGCCAGATGCTTCTCCAGCTCTCCTGCCCCAGTGGCTGATCTGCTTGTGATTACCTATTCCAGATGATCCCAAGAAGAGGAAGACCAGAGGGTGCTCTTCATCGTACCAGCCATTCTCCTTCCTCCGGATCGCTAAGGCCAAGCACAACACAGGGATGGGGAGGGAGGCAGATAAATCAATGACACAAAAGGCAGGATAATTATCACTAAGTATACAATATGTTTTACTGCTCTGCGCCCACTCAAAGTCCTCACTACCATTAGTGCTGCCTAATCTGATTAGCTGGCAAGGCCCCTAGAGATACCTAATCAGGTTAGCATGGATTTGGAAAGCTGCCCAGAGCAGATTTCGGATAAAGTTTTCCAGGATGAGCACTCAGCGTTGCCAGGGAAACCGAAAGGCGGGTGGATGGTGAATGGAGGTGAAGTGGGTGGGGGACTGGTGAAGGAGAATCCGAGAGGAACGTTAACTCTCACCGGTCACCCCTTTACTCACCTGTGCAAATAGGAGAGACAGAATCCCATGGTGAGACCTGGGGATCAGGGGTGCAAGATTTGGGATCTTTCTCATTTGGGGAAACCAAGGTCTGCTCTGCTGTTTTGATTAGAAAGTGCAAACAGCCAAATGCATTTTCTGGAAGTCAGTCAAGGGTAGTGTAGAGCTAGGGGGTGCAAAAGGGGTAAGCCACTTGGTTAGCATTTCTGATAACCATGGCTTCCAGAGGGGTTGGGGGCGAGGAGTGGGACAGATCTCTGCTAGGTTCCATAAGGCTCTTCTTGACGAGGAGGTAAGTGATCAAGGGCTATGCGTGAAGGTAAGGAAATGAACTGCTCAACTGTGGAGTTCGAGAATTGGGCTGAGGATTAAAGTGAAGGGCAGGGAGTGGAATGAGGCAGAACCACAGGAAGAATCATTTACAGCACAGGCACAACACCAGGCATGGCTGGAAAATCACCAATAATCATTCCAGACCCACAGAAACACTCTGAAGGGAAAGTATTCTCAACTCCATTATACTGAACAGGAAACTGAGGCAACAGAAGAGATGCATCCAAGTCATGCAACTGGTAGATGGTAAGAGCTGCTTCTTTCCTCAAAACGTGCCTTAAAAAAATCACATATAGTGGCTTTAAAAAGTGATACCAATTTGGGCTGCATTAATAGAAACAGCAGTCAGGAGTTGGAAGGGGACAGAGCACTGTGCAATGTCAAGGTCCATCTGCAGATGGAACAGTGTATCTGGTCTGGGCCCCAGATTGTCAGGGGAAATTATGTCAGAGGACAAGGCCTGGAAACTTGGTCAATGAAGAAAGAGTCAACAATCTTAGGGATGTGCCTGCCAGTCTGGAGAAGCCAAGCTCCTAAATGCTAGACTGTGTGGCTGGGCTTCAAAGCAGCTGTGGAGGCCAGAGGAACTCTTTGGCAGAGGAAGAGTGAAGACAGACCATGGAGGCTGGCAGGGTCTGGAGAGGGGTCAGCCCAAGAGGTGGGGCGAGGAATGGGCATGAGGGTAGGGGGCAGGAGCAGTTGAGTCTGGGCTACCTCTTGGGCATTCAGCCCCAGGCTTTCATCATTCTCACCTCTTTCTCTAGAAACATGGAACAGTGCAATTGCATGGACACAGGACTAGCCATCAGTGCTGCCAGCAGCTGCTGCTTGGGAAAAGCCTGTTTGAGAAAGAATCCTTGGTGCCCCAAAAGAAACAAGGAGCTAGGAGTGAGGGTATTTGGGGGGAAGTGGCAGTATTAAAATGGCAACAGTTAAGACTTCTGTGAATACTGTGTGAACATGTGTGTATGTGTGGGGACAGGGCTGAGAGAGGGTCAGCTGAAAGGAGCCACATTCTTCTAAAAGTTGGCAGAAACGGGAATCTAGGTTGAGAGCAGGGGAAGCTGGAAGCAGGTTTCGGCTTTGTATACACGGGAAGGCAGACAGAAGCAGCATCACTCAGACAGGTAGCTCGGCACCCTCAGGCAGAGTACCATGGACGTGAGGTGGTTCTTGGCTGTTTCTTTGGCGTAGCATTCTAGGCCTTCAAGAGCTGCACACTGCTTGACTGTGCAACACAAAAACCTCCATGGAGAATGAGGAATTGAATTACGCCTGGGGCCATCTTTCCCCCTTCTTTTCTAATAATGCACCTGGGAGAGAGCTCTTTATAATGTCAGGCAGACTCCACTGCACAGCTGTCCCTGGTCAATTCTGCCAGACCCAGGGCATGAGTCTGGGGTGGGCTTGATCTGGGGTCCCTGTGAAACAGGCGAAATGCCAACCATTAAACAATTACAACTCTGGATATTTCTAATAATATCCTAAGAGAAAAACCGCCAAGCAGATGGAGTCCGACAGAATGAAAAATGAAGGCAGCTATGAAAGACTGGGGAAGGCGAACCCCAGGGTGTGTAACTGGCTGGGGAGCTGGGGAGGGTCCTATCAGGTCAGGGTGCAGGCTGGACCAGATGGAAACCTGGATGGGTCCACACAGACAGAGCTAGTCCTCTCACTATGAACCAGCAAATGTGCAACTTACTTTGCTAGTAGCACTTTACGGTTTACAAAGAACCTCTGTAGCAATGTCACATCACCTCATTATGACTAATAAGGCAGGATGGGCAGGAAACTTGACTCCTGTTTTATAGATGAGAATATGTACCAGGAAGTTAGGAAAGCTGCTCAGGTTCCATAGGAACATAAGCTGAAGACCATGGCTGACTCCTGAGCCCCCACAGGTGTCACGAGCATAGGGAAAGGAGTAGCTCTCCCCACTGGCTCTCCGCTGTGCACCTCCTTACAGCCCTGCCTCACTCTTCCCTCTGTAGTAGTCTTCCAATCGGGCACTCAGCAGCTCAGCACACTGTCCCCTGACCCTGTCCTCACCACTACTCAGAGCCCTCTGTATGGGCAGCTCAGCCCTACCCTTGGCTGACCCCAGCTGTGCATGTTCTAACCAGGGTCCCCTGCTCCCACATGCCATGCTAGTACACTGTCCTGTGTCCTGTCCCTTTCCAGATGTTTTCTCCTGGCCACATTTGTCATTGCTAGACCTTTGGAAAACTTAACCTGTACCAAAGTCTTCATGATTATTTTACTACAGCACCCCTAGCCCATCAGTTCACAGGTGTGTGTTCTCTGGTATGTATTCAGTACAGAGTGGTGTAGAGGACAGGATAGGAATTAGAGCTAGCTTGGAGTCTTGCCTCTTCTACTTCATAGTTGATGGACTTCCAGTAAAATACCTACTTCTTTAAAGGCTCAGATTCTTATTTCTAAAATGGAAGCAGACACACACAGTGTCAGCTCCCCATGAAGATTAAGTGAGTTAATGGTTAGGAAAGCATTCTGTAAGTACCAAAGAATGGAGCAACAACTCGGGTGAAAGTGATACACATCGCAGAGGCAGCAAGGGTGGCAGTCGTTAGCACTGGCATTTTCAAACAGCTCCTTCATCCATGCAATAATCCTAAGAAGTAGGCATCATTTCCATGTCACACAGGAGGAAACCAGGAACCAAACTTGAACAGTCAGTGTGAGGGGTTTCTTCTGCTTGTGTCCAAATCCAGCAGGAGAGTTCCCCCAGAGTCCCAGTCTGAATCTGTTTAGGGAGCAGGTGCTGGGGCATTCTAATTCCGTAGGGGTCCCTGAAACAAGCTCCTCACTGGTTTAATGCTTGCTGATTAAATGAATTAATTCTTTTTGGGATCGCAAAGAGGAACAAACAGATTCTCCAACTCCATTTTACAGAGGACATCGTGTGGCTGAGACCTAAGACTCTTGGTGCTCCAGGAGATTTCTGCTGCTCTTGGGTGAAGAAGGCTTCTGGTCTCTTCTGAGTCTTGGGCTTATGCATTCTTTCTGCAAAAAGCTCTTGCCACATAATGGCTTGTGCTTCTCAAGTAAATGCTGCCATGAAGACTGAGGGCTCCACATGGGGTGGGAGTGTCGGGTGAATGGGAGAGCACTTAAACATGGATGGCAGTCCTGCTTGAAGGATGAGGTGGAATAGGGCATTCTGGGAAGGCCCCAGTGTGTGAAAAAGCAAAGAGAGTTTGAGTTGCCTCCTCTGAGCCCAGGACTTTGCCTCCATCCAACTGAAGGTTCTGAGGTAGCCTGGGTAGCTGACTTGTGCTTCTTTGTAAGTTTTACTAGTCTAGTGTGGGAGGATTTTCAAACTAACCTGGAAACATGACTGTTCCATGCTGTAGCATCTCCCAGGAGAACCATCCTTCAGAGGATGCTCATGGTTGAGAGTCACCCTAGTGTCTATTAACAGTGTCAGAATGGGCACTGCCCTCATTTACTTGAGTCAAACTTTTGTACAACTGTGGCTCAACCTGTGAAGTAGCTGATGCAAGGTAGGTCCTGACCTCTGAAAGACACACAAACCTAGCAGACATCTAGTGGTAAGTGTAGTGACAGAGGTTTTGACAGGAAGTCCAGGGACAGGGCCTTGAGTCCAAGGTAGGACTAGGAGGCATTCTGGAGAAGGCATTCTGGAGTGTGTTGCAGGGCAGGGACAAAGTGGCAGGGCAGGGTGGCCCAGGCCATGAGAACAGCGGAGCGCAGGCAGGACCCTTAGATGGCAGGGATGGGAGTGGAGCTGCAAACAGTTCTGTGGCTGGGGGGCAACTTGTACATAGTTTTTATACTAGACCCTAGGACTCAAAGGGAGGGTACAGAAGGGCATAGGGTGGGAAAATTACAGTTTTGTAGTCAATAAGGGAAGTGAAGTGGGAAATACGGTGGTGCAAACTGGTGTGCCACAATGCTGATGCTGAGACCCCCTTTGTAGGTAGGCCCTAGTGCAGTGGAGGGGCAGAGGTGCCTGTGGGAGTGCAGGGGCTTCACTGTAATGCCTCTACACAGAGGCTCCATGTCAGGTGTATGCAGACTGACCTGTTGTCTACCCAGGAGGTCAAAGGCCAAAGAGTAAGGTTGTAATTAATGATCTTGCTAGTTCCCTTTCCACTATGCTTGTGAGCTACCAGAGCACTAGGAGTTCGGTAGTTCATTGCTCCTGAACAGCGCTAGCCAGTGTGTAGGGCTAGACTGGGCTACAGTGGGGAGGATCAGAACAGGAGGGGCTGTAGGCTGAGAGGGTGGCAGTGACAAAGTCAGGCAGGAAAGCTGCCCATGTGAGCAGGGAAGCAGAGGCAGGCAGTGATGGAGATACAGCAGCAGCAGTGGGCCCTCTGTGCCACATTAGGGCAGCAAGTGCCACTCAAGGGTTTCAAAAGAGGAGTGGTACTGATTCTAGGGGAGGAAAGAAAACAAGGAGACCAGAGAGGAGGCCACTGCATGGCCACTGATGGACTGTACTCTCCAACTGTGAGCCCAAATCAATCCCTCCTTCTCCCTCCCTCCCTCCCTCCCCCCCCCGATTCTTGTCAAGTATTTTGTCACAGCAACTACACAAGTAAATAATACACAGGAACAGAGAGGAGAGTCCAGGTTTGAGAGCCTGGAAGAAGGTGAATGATAGAACTGGGGAGTTGGTCTGCAAGCTGCCGGAAGGAGGGAAGACGAGGCCAAGGAAATGTCTACATTTCTATATAGATCAGTGGAGGGAGGTCTAGTTCTGAATATGCTGAATACACACAAGCTGGCTGCTTTCTGTGGCAGTGGGGCTTTGAGGTTCTGGGCTCCCAGGATGTCTGCCAGTCATGTAGGCATCATCCATCCCTAGGGTATGGAAGAGGGAAGAGGCACATTCCATACCCATGTGGTATACAGGTTGGCCTGTTTGGCTCTGGTGACCCTAGCAGATCAGAGCAGTCATGGGGGTCTGGGGCATGGGGCTGTTGCTTTACCTCCTCCATTTGTAAGGCGGTAACTGTGCGCCAATCTTGCTAGAGGCCCTGCAGCTGGGGATCACACTGATAAATTCACTGTATTACTTTGCACAAATCAATATCCCAGCACTTACCAGGGGTTGATGTGACCGAAATTGGTTTCAGCCAATTCGTGAGGGTAATAAATGGCCATTTATCAAATCAATTCATTCTGCGGCACTTCTCTGGCTGCCCATCCTCATGGTACCCATGGGGTGCCAGGCTCTGTCCCCATCTAGACAGTGCCTAGCACACATCTGACACTGGCCTGGAGAATCTAGAGGCCTGACCTAGCCTCTAGGTATGTCGCACTCGCCTGTGCCTGCTGGGGTTGAAGTGCTGAGGTCTTGGTGCTGCTTGCTTACCACAAACTCAGACCTAGAAAATGCCATATGCTTTGACCAGGTTTGCAGCTGCAGCCACTAGACCGCTCCTTGCTTTTGGCTGGGGTCCAGAAGCTTCTGGGAGATGGTCACAGGAGATGAACTTGGTATAGGACATTCTCAGTATGGCCCCAGCTGCAGTGCTTCTCAGCAAGGCAGATGCATAGTAAATGGAAGCAAAAAAAGCACAACCCTGCACAACGTGGACTTCCAGGGTTGTTGTCTTGCCAATGGTCATTGAAGCAGTAGCAGGGTTAAACCATATACCACGGGGCAAGGAGCTGGGCCTTCCTGGCAGTTACTTTACTGCCAACCTAAGGCAGAGTTCAGAAGGGCACTTCCAGGGTGCACAATCTGACAGTACTTGGAGTTGGAGAGTGGATCATCTGCTCTTGCTTTGAGCCAATTGCAAGGATGGATGACATCAAGATGTGAATCAGAGGGGCTGGAGAGACGGCTCAGTGGTTAAGAGCACTGGCTGATTTGCAGAGAACCTAGGTTCGGTTCCCAACACCTACATGGTGGCCAACAACTACCTGTAACTCCAGTTCCAGGGGATCTGATGCCTTCTTCTGGCTTCCATGGGCATTGCACATACGGGTGCACTTGTAGGCAAAACATTCATAGACATAAAATAAAAATAAATGAAAAACCACCAAAATATGGGCATCAGAGGTCAATACAGAGCCTGAGAAGAGCAAGCTGTGTGTGTGTGTGTGTGTGTGTGTGTGTGCTCAGTTCCAGGTGAAAGAAATCAGCTGTGACCTTGACTTCAAGAGTACAGGACTCAACCCAACATCATGAAGACAGGGACTAGGTTGTCCTGCCACCTTCAGACCTCTGAATGGGATGGCAGCTCTGTTCCCTAGGGTCCACTTATCTGCTGAAAGGGTCAGGCCCTTCATGAGGCGTTCACATTGGGGGTCATGAGTCCCCAGGGTGTGTGAGGATGGTAGAGATCAGGTTGTGCCCAACATGATGGGCAAATAACTGCCATCATTTTCTAGTTACTAATTGGGCTGATGTGGCCCCAGAATGTTTTATAGCAGAGAGCCTGGATTCCAGCCTCATGGCTCCTTTCTTAGTGAGCAGAGCACAGGGAGTCCTTAACAGTCAGGGAGCCCTTAACAGTCACTGGGCAACATCTAGTGGGACTAGATGCTTAGAGGCAAGAGTGACAGGTTAGCAGGACTAACTAAGATAGTTCAGGACAGTAAGTTTTAAACTCTAGATGAGTGGCAGATAGTCTAAAGGGTCTGTTAATTCATAGATGTGAAGTTCTGACTCCATAGGTGTGGACTGAGGCCTGAGAGTTGATCCTAGAAGAGGCTGTGGCTACTGGTCCAGAGAACATCTCTGGGATCCACTGGCTTGGGGGAGACCTCTTTGCTTAGCCTGGCACAGAGAATCTCTTCCCTGCCTCACTTGTCTGAATACACCCTGAGAGAGGCACAGGCCAGAGCTGGAGAGCAAGGGTGAGACCACTGTCTTCAGCAGCTCACACTATACACATCTGTCCAGTGGACTATGCTTGGCAGGAGGGTCACTGGATTAGTATTGTACTCTCTTGTTCCTAGAGGCCAAAGGATGGGAATGGGGGCTTCACCAGTAGAAGGCACTTCACAGTTGTTGGGACGTTTTCTCTAAGATTCAGCTCTCTGAAGCTGCTGACAAACCATTCTGAAAGTTTGAGAGAGTCCTGGGCTAGCTGGCTGGCACACAGAAACTGAAGTCCTGTTCTAGTTCAGCTGCCACATTACTAGTACAGGACAAGTTCCCACCTCTTTCTCAGAGTCCCAGGTGTCCTCCATTAAAAGTGGGAGATGAAGGGCTAGAGAGATGGCTCAAAGGTTAAGAGCACTGGCTGTTCTTGCAGAGGACCCAGGTTTGATTCCCAGCACCCATATGGTGGCTAACAACCATCCTTAACTCCAGTTCCAGGGGATCCGATGCCCACTTCTGACCTCCTTGGGCATTGTACAACACAGGTGCACTCATATACACGCAGGCAATACATTCATACACATAAAATGAATAAAAATAAATAAAAATTAAAAAAGTGGGAGATGGGGGTAGTAGAGCAGAAGAAAGCAAGGTTTAATTCTAAGCACATGAAAGCAGCACTAAGCAAGTTACTTCAGCACTGCATCTTGGTGTCCTCCTCTGTACAACGGGGTTTAATGTGTCCAACCCACAGCATTGGTATAATGACTAAATAAATGACCCAACTTATACCAAGACCTTAAGACAATGCCTAGCATACAGAGGGCACTCAACACACACTAACTTTGGAATATAGACCACATCTCCCTGGTTTGGGGGCAGCAGGACGTGCACCTCACTGTAGCAGAGCACAAGCTGCCCTTCCCTTTCCCACCCAGCTAATGCTGCAGACTTACCAGCACCTACGGTGGCGATGGCACTCTCCTGGCCGATGATGTGCTCCTTCAGTCGCTGCTCCAAAGGGAAGCGGCGCCGCTCCTCAGCTTCACGCTTCCGCTGTTTCTCCTGGTACTAGGGGAAGAGAGTAAAAGGCTGAGGTTGGCCTCAGCACAACCCTACATTCGTTCTGTGCCCTGGTTCTGGGGCAAACATGCAGGTGTGGGGCTCCAGGGGTCCTGTTGTGGCTCAAGACCACTGGCTGGTCCAGGTTTATCCCTCTCCCCTCTGCTCAGGACAGAGCAGGCAAGGCAGGGATGAAGTAATCACTCTCAGAGTTTCACAGCTAAATGCTTTCATTAATGACTCTACCTTTCACTAAAAACACTAATAGAAAACAGTCTGCTGAATGTCTGGCTCTCCGGACTCACTGGGTGCTTCCTGAGGGCAAGCTCCAGCTTTTTCTCACTGTTGTTTCCAGCGTGGGCCCTGACCAGTGGCATCATGTGAGTGTAAAAATGGATAGGAAGGCTAGACAGGGCAGTGCAGAAGTACAGAGAAGGGAAGATACAGGAATATGGAATGTTTGGGGTACTTCCTGGTAAGTAGGAGACCTCAGGAGGTTGGAGGACTGGTGACCAGGTAAGGAGACCTGAGGGCATGGCCTGATGGGGAAGCACTTACTGAGGTAGAAAGGTGGATCCTAAACTGGTAAGGAAAGACCAGGTCCTCAGGTGGCTCCTCTCCCCCAAGTCCCTGTGACATGGGCATCTTTCTTGAAAGAAAGCTGTCAAGACAAGGCCCTGTCACAAAAGTTGTGGCTACAGATTGCTCTTGTGGGCAGAGTGGATGACAAATACCTGCTACTTGGGTAGTGTTTTCCTGTTATAGTAGTGACCTTGACAGAAGTTAAAAAAAATAAATAGCAAACAATCCAATTTTGGCTGTTGCTATCAGTCTGTAACTGAAAGCTCCCATCAGTCCTCGGTTTCATATGGAGCAATAATTCGGCGCCGATCCCAGTGGAGTGACGCTTGCCGGCTGGAATCCAGAGTGTCACTATACAGCTCCCTCAGGCGCCACATACATCACCTGGCTCTGCCGACTCCAGCCATATATCTGCCTCTTCCTCTTCCCTGCCCACCAGCCCACTCAGCACTCGGGCCCATTGAGTGGGAGGTGCTGATGGCAAAACACACATACTAGCTGGGATGGTGCTGACTTGTACTTGGGCAGACCCTGAAGGCGCCTGAAGGTGAAGCTGGCTTGCCAGGGTTTGCTGGGCACATTTGCTTGTGATAGGCTGTTATGTGCCAGGCACTGTATTTGGCACTTCATTCAGTGATTTTACAGTTGTCTCCCATCAGAAGTTGGGCTCCTCTTTTGGCTCGCACTGAGGTAGTTATGGGATAGAAGAAACAAGCTTCTCTTGTAGACAGACTGAGCTCAAGCGACCTTGTCCTTTTACTAGTTAGTACTTAGTTTCCTCACCACAACAGTACAGTACTCATACCTACCTTGTAGGACGTTGAAGAGGAAATGAGATAAGCACTCTATGGTAGAGCATGGCAAGCAGCAAAGTGGGTAGGCAATTAGTGGGAATCAAAGTGATGCAGACGGCTACTCTAGTATCTGCCCTTACAAAGTCTCTGAGTGCATTTTCTCCCCTTTCATTCCAGTAGTGGGGATTGAACCTCGGGGCCTTGCTCATGCTAGGCAAGCACCTTACCACTGAGCTGTATGCCAGCCCTGATTTCTGAGAAACACTACTTCCCTTCACTGCATTTTGGTAACCTATTGGCTAACCCACCCGTCTGTTTTTCTTTTGGGGTGTGGTTTACAGGATTTCTTCTAATTAATTCAACCACAGGTAGAGGACCACAGACCAAAAGAAGAGTTGCTGTGACTTAAGTGGAAATCAGGAGTCAAGTTCACTTGGCTGCCCATTGCCTCAGAAGTGCCTCTTAAGGCTCTCTCCTCTAGGAACTGGGTCTGCAGGTGGCCACAATGGCCAGCTTCTATGGACACCTCGATTGCCTGAGTAGCTTATCTCTGGTTTCAGTTTTCCTTATGGTGTGGAATTCTGTCTCTGCATACTTTCTGTCAGCTGGTCTGTGGGGCCTCACAGAAAACACTTTTTCCTTTGTGTCAGGCAAAGCCTAATGGACTTTTCATGCCACTCTGTTGATTGGAGCATGATCTTCATGCCCAAGTCTTCTCCAGGAAACATTTCTTCTTCCTATAACTCTCCTTCAATATCATGCTTTTAGGTTGCCTCAGAATTCCTTGTTAATTTCTTGGGTAAAAGGAGAGTCCCTAGTTACTATGGAGGTGAGTATGGGGTAAAGTATACATAAACTGTTTGGTTTCTCTGGAGTTTTCTCTATGTTCTTGAGGAAGGCTCTAACTATGGCTTAGATCTCAGAATACATCCTGCTCATCCCAAGCCTCAAGTCTCACAGAGCTATTTAAGAAAAATTTCTGAAAGTACATCAGATTTCTTTGATAAAAATGTAGTGGAGGGCTGATAAGTTTGCTCAATGGGTAAAGCACTTGTTGCACAGACCTGACAACTTGAGGGCAATCCCCAGATCCCATAGAGGGAGGAGAGAACAGACTCCTGAAAGTTGCTTCTCTGATCTCTACACATGTGCACCACGGCATATGGGCATCATACACACACCTCTCCCTCTCTCTGTGTCTCTCTCCCCCACACAAATAACAAAAATAAAAACATGCAGTATACTGGAGGTTAAATGAAGCTAAATGCTGCTGCTCATGCTCTTTTCCTACGGTTTAGAAGCTTGTACTAAAATGTGTACTGAATCACCTTTTAATTTTAAATGTTTTACAGTGTTAGGGACGGAACCCAGGGCTCTGTTCACTATAGGAACAAATCACTTTAAAAAAAATATTTTATTATTTTTATCTTATGTGTATATGTGTATTGCGTGCATGTAGGTGAGTGCACCCGTGTTGTGCAATGCCCTTGGAGGACAGAAGAAGCGGTCAGATCCCCTGGAACTGGAGTTATGGACAGTTGTTAGTTGCCATGTGGGTGCTGGGATTCAAACCCAGGTCTTCTTCAAGAACAGTGTTCTTAACCACTGAGCCATCTCTTCGGCCCTGGAACAAATCACTTTTTGAAGGCATATGCCCTGAGCCCGGTCTTGTGGAAAGTTAATCAGTAGGAAAAACTAGAAAAGAAAAATGCTTGGTTTATATTTGTTCTATTTGGGGAGAGGATAAAGCAGAAGTCCTAGGAGTAGCTTGAAAGGGGCTCTGTAGATGTAGGCTGTTGTGCCTGGCTCTTTCAGGACACATGGAGGAAAGCTACAGTTCTGAGTTCAAGGCTCTGCTTATCTAAAGGAGAAGACACGGAGGTAACAGAGCCAACAGAAGCAGAGGGTGCTGGACAGAGAGGCACTGTGAAGGGGCTGCCAGGAAAGCAGGTGTGGGGAGTGACCGTCCTCTTAACAAAAGCCTGGTACAATTAACCTCAGAAGCTCTCACCTGGAGCTGGCAGCCACCAGCTTCCCATGCTGCATCTTGGCTGGATAATCGCAGTCCCTGGTTTCCATCAGTCTTGATTTAATATGGCACTCCTCCTGACTGTGAGTGCATTTACAGGAAAGGGCTGGGAGGGCTAGCTAGGCTCCTTCCACTCAGAGGTGAGTGGTGAGGCTGAGTGGTGCTGCAAGGGAGGGTTTTGGGCACCAGGTATATGACAAGCATCTTGATTATTGGGCATGTCTCAGGGGACAAGTCTGACAATGAAGCTGGCGGTGAAAGGGCAGCTGTAGTGCCGGTGGTGGGTGGGCAGAATAAGACCCTGGGCAATGATGGGGTTCTAAGGTGTAGAGGAGGGAAGAGAGGAGAGGCCAAGTCAAGTTTGCTTCTCTTGGAAAGGTAAGGCCTACAGAGACACTGGCTGCCACATACTGTCAGGTGTGCCCCATACTTCTGACTCAGATCTGAACTTAGGTCATGGTCAGGACTTGTTCGAGTCTCTGAATTGCAGTGATAGAGGACTGTGTAGGGAGGTCAACAAAGGGGACTAGACGGTAACAGATGAGACTACGGCAGGGATGTTGATGACAGAGGAGTCCAGGGTGTATAATAAAGAACTTTGAAGGGTGCTGAGCAAATGGGAACATAAAACTAGGGGGTGAGAGGGGTGAAATAAGGGTCTTTAAGGCTCTTGAACCTGCCCATAAGCATTCCTCTGAGGAAGATTGGTCACAGAGCAGCTGTCAGTCTCATCAGCAGCAGGCCAGCCTCCTGGGTCTACTCTCCTCTCTTCCAGTCCCTCCACTGCTTGGGCTAGAGATTTTTTTTTTCAATATGACAGACTCACCAGGCGTGGTGGTGCATGCCTTTAATCCCAGCACTTGGGAGGCACAGTAATACAAAACCTGCAGACTAAAAAAAGTCAGGGCCCAGATGGATTTACAGTGTTTTGTTTTTGTTTTTGTTTTGTTTTTTTGTCAAAAAAAGACAGGCTCTCCTTGTAGCCCCAGCTGGCCTCCTGGAACTCACTATATAGACCAGGCTGGCCTTGATCTCACAGAGATCCACCTGCCTCTGCCTCCCAGTGCTGGGATGAAAGGCATGCGCCACCACACTGGGCCTGGAGATGTATTTTTGAAATCTCAATGAACTCTGTGAAGGTGGGGATCAGGCTTTCTCTCTCAGACTCTAGAGGCAATCTTCCAGGGATAGTGTTCTTTCTCTCCTGCTGCCAACAGACCTGGCTTGAATCTGCTTATTCATGTGAATCTGACCATGTCATATCTCTACAAATGGCTGGGTTGATCTAGAGACAGGACTGGTGAGAGGAGGCTAAGAGGAGTGAGGAGTGGCTGAAGTGAAGACACGAGCTGGTGACTTCAGTGCCTCTTGTCAGGGAGCGGGATGCCTCACTTGGCTGCGGCAGTATCGGCCACCTTTCATTGACACTCTTCCCTTTGTAATTAGTGTTTTTAAGGAGAGACATCAACATTATGTTTATACTCTGTTGTGTCTCAAACTTTCCGTCTCCAGTTTTACAGCACTCACTGATGGGTCTTGCCTGATCTTGGTCAGTGGTTTGATCCTCATAGATCTATAAGTTGACAGTGTCACCATCCATCCTG